TAATGAAACGCACACCATCTATAGACGCTTTACAGCAGCTGTGCATGGGCGCCGCCATAACCGACCTTCAGTTTTTGTTCCCTCTTATTCCGTTCGCTTCACTTCTTCATTACCACAGCAGGACAGGTTATTGCCATTTTAGATGCTACCGTGTTCTTGTGCCCAGCATAGGCCCTTGTGAAGACCCGTCAACGCCCGCTTCAGTGGCTCGGCATCTCGGTAAGGCAAGAGAAGGGCGGCTATGGCGGCTCAATCTGGCGTGTGTGTAAAGCGTCTATATTTGGGGACAACGCTTTCTGGCATTTCCGAAGGAGTGAAGACCGCGCAGGCACAACTGTGATCGCCTTTCAATGTGCGCAAGCGCATTGAACGGCAAGCGCCACCCAGGATGCGAGCGCATCCCGGGTGGCGGGCTGGCAGGCCACTCGCGTACGGGTTTTAACCTTTCTGCACAGCCGTGCACGCCACCCAGGATCAGTTTTTTGTATGCAAATAAATAATAATAATAATTATATTATTATTATTATTTTAACTTTGGCTTCATTGCCAAGAAAAGTTGTGCAGCCCGATCGCGTGCCCTCGTGTGCAAACAGTTTTTTACGCTGTACTCCGGTAACAGTAAATTTCGCCAACTTTGTGATATTTTTTCCAACCTCTAGCGTCCTGCATTCTGGCGGGATGTCAACTTTCGTTCATGCTTTCTAAATTTCTGCAGTGGGAAAGCATTAAGTGGCCCGCTTTTCGAGCCTCTTATTCGGTAACACGTTGATCGAAGTTTGGATGGCTATAACGGGACTGCGGCTAGTATTTCCGAAGATATCCTAGTATAAGCGCGGTTCACCTCGTTAACGCGTGAAGTTGACAGGTTGCTGTGCCAGGCGCAAAGAGGGCAACAGTTTCTCCGTCGTTATCGGGGTTTCGGATTGTGCCTCTCCCTGATTGGGTCCTGCGCTCGCGCGCCCGCCTCACACGAAGCGCTGGGCCGCGTCCAACTTTCGCAAACGAAGTGCCCAATCCCCAGAGCGAAACGAGGTTGCGGTAATCCCTCCGAGAAAATCCTCGGCGGGACATTAAAGCGAACGTGTCAACAGCGGGCCTGGAAGGAAGAGCGGCCGTTCCTGCAGTGGCGGCGGCTTTCGGGACTTGGTTTTTTTGCGTCGCCTGTCTGCCTCCCATCGGAGCCCCTTCTTTGCTGCCGTCTCCGGCCAGGCTCTTCGAACGAAGCGGGTTGGGGCTGGACGGTGTTCAGAGTCGCTTGGGCTTCATTTGGCAATGACCGCGCCTTTATGTGTCGAGGCCTCGCAGCTGCGTCGGATTGGGTATCCCCTTGACGACAGGAAGACTGACTCTTTCCCGGCCTTACTTTTTGTCATTGAAGTCCGGTCGACGGGTCGATGCCTACTCGTTACGAAAAGTGCGACTGAGTAAATACTCTAAAGGCGCACTATAACTGCTCATACTTCATACAAAAAAACACAGCGTTCGCTGCAGGCATGGTGACAGGTGTGGACAGGTCTCAAGCATATTCTAAAGACCCGTTCACACTCTTGCAACCGAGTACGACCGAGAGAGACGAGACCTGTTGAAACCTCTTAAAATTTCTTAGGACTAGAGAACACACTGGCTCTCTGGCGCCATCTATGCGGTGACAATGGAACTGCATTTCACAGGAGCGAAGGTTTTGCGGAATTTCTGACGTGAAATGTGCGTAATACCTATAAGAAAGATTTGTTTATAACGTTGACTAAAGTTTTTCTAGCCGAGAAAGAAAGGATAATGCGCGAGAGAAATACAAAATTTGCCGGACCGCCAAGTTTACACAGCTACCCACTGATAGCGCCAGTGTTTCCTCTCGCTGTAACAGATATTAAGAGGTCCCAGGGCACCCGGTTCTAAGAGGTCGCAATTGTGTGAACGGGCCTTAAGTGTGTTTTCTTCATACTAGTCTCGTGCGAATAGTGGATTTTGAGTTCGAAGCGAATTCGAAGTGATTAGTGGTTTTCGCGGAATATTTTCTATTCGAATATCGAATAGTTTTTCCACGTCTTTCACTACCATAGCACAATGCTTAGACGAGAAACCAGCAAAACTTGTGAAGGTTGTTCCCCTTGTTCATTTATAAGCTCAGTTTCAGCTATCTATATTTATGAACTGTTACCTCAGAAGGTTTGATTTGATGTCTTGGGATGGCAGGTAAACGACGAATTTGACATAAAATGAATTTTATACAGATGGCCAACTATACGCAATTGAGTGAATTTACAAATATTGCTATATAAAATATTTTTTCTTTAATCTCGAGTTAAAAAAAATGAATCGCGCATGATGAACGCAGGTTGTAAGGGCATCCGTGTCTAACATATTATACTCTTGCATAACAGTCAGTTTAATTTTGATACTTTTACTACAATGTAGACATTGGCAAAGTTTCCATTTTCTTCCAGAGACAGCCGGCACGCGTGCACCATCCCGCTTTGAATGTATGGTTTTCTTTCAAGCATACAATTGCGATATTCATACTTTCTCAAGTGTTCCTCGCGGCGGGCTATCCCATTGAGTGCGCTTCTTACCGAGCACGAATGTAATGCAGAGAAGCAACCCCCCGGAGCTCGCCTTCGCGGGTATTGGTTCTCCGCAGTGCACCGGTGCTCAGTAAGAAGCGCCCTCAATGGGGCTAACACGCCGAAATCAGCAATTGAAAAGACTCGGATAGTACAGTCCTTTTCGAAGCCAATATCGAAAAGTACATTATTCAAAACTACTATTCGAAATTTAGAATATTCGAACAACCCTACCATACACATGTATGTTTCGGACATGTCTGCAAAGAGTTTTTGTTAGACCAATGTGACCGTCATACAAGAAATGCCTCAGCCAGTGTCTGCAGACCGTCTTGTGTAGGATGCATTAGCAACGGGACGGCGGATCTATACTTGGGGACAACTTTTCTTTGTAACGAAGCCGAATCTATGCGTACCCGGGTGCTCGTGCATATTGAGCGCCGCTGTGCTCGCGTGATCTTTACTTCGGAGATGCCAGAAAAAGCTGTCTCGGAATGGAGGAGCCCTGTTGACAGGGCACTAACCTACGCCTTGCTAAAAGTGCGACTGAGTAAGCACTCTGAAAGAGCTCCTTGAGTGTACGCTGCTTCACGATGTACTAGTAACACCTGTCTTTATTTTTTTTATCAACAGTCACACCAACAAAATTAGTAGAATGCATCAGTGGTAATGCATGTTTCAGCGGCAAAAGGGGTGGACTCAATCCTTTCCCTCCACAGTGACTTCATGGCTGTTGGTACATCGCATCTCTTCTCATCGGCTGTACTGAATGAAAGGGGGCCAATTTTCTTGATCTTTAAGGTAAAGATAGCGATACCACGGATCCAGAATATTTGGAGACAGTAGAGTTACTTGTTAAATGTAATCAGGTATGCTACTTAATCACTTGGTTACTTATTTGGTATCGAATCACAAAAAGCACGCGTAACCTCAGCTTAAATCTAGATACTTTTTCTTCGTTGAGTTTTGTAGATTTCATATTTTTTTAGGGGGGGAGGGGGAGAAATTGGTGGCGGACCATACCTATCACACAAAAAAAATGTGAACTCTCGACCGAGCAATGTTCGTCGCTGTTCTTCCTTAAAAATGATTGTCCTTATGTGCCTTTGTGTGCGTGTATGTGTGTGTGTATATGTGTGTACGTTTGAACTTTGAGATCGTAATGAAATAGAGTACGAGAAAATCGGTGAGGGCAATGTTGGTAGCTGAACACATTTCCCGGCAAAAAGAAAGTTACTAAATTGTTGCTCCTGAAGTAGTAACTGAAATACGATTATCCTCCTTCGCAAAGGGTTACGCCTTCTTTTTTATTTCTTACAAAAAATAACAAATCATGAGTAACGGCAACGCATTACTCGTTATGCGCTGCATTAAGTCTGTGCAGGCGTGAGTAACAGCACCGGAAACTCTCACCGCTAAATGAGATGAGGATGACGCTTCACTGAAGCTATTAGTCTCACGCCCTTCACATTTTTCGCCCGAGGCTTAGAACTGAAGTAGATGACATCGTTCTTACAAGGCCACTCAGAAGGGTTAAATTAAGACGGAATGAAAAGAAAATCACTTCGAACGTTAGTTCGCAGCATGCAGACAGTAGGCGTTTTCAGAAGTCATATGGCGAGATTTCGATCGAATGTGTTTTGTATAAACACTAGACGTCTTGTGAACTTCCATCAAACGACATTGACCAGCGTCATGTTTTTGGCTTCTCAAACTAGAGGCGCATATATATATGAACCCTGGTCCGGAAATCAACGAGCTTGCCTACGTAACAATTGGAAGGAAATTGACATCGAACGCTGTGTCCAATACGGGCCCAGAGTCGGCGACTAGAGCTTGACTTATTATTGTTATTTGCATAGCTAGTACTAAACAGGGCACATTTTCTGGTGATGCTCTCAATTATCACCAAAGCCACGTATGCATATCCAGGACTCATTAAAATGTACTCTTCGGCTACTTGGATAAACATCGTGAACACAATTGGCGCAAAAATGTATTTTTTGAATCAAATCATTCCTTACTTCCTTCTCGGTTTTTTTTTTTTTTTTTTTTTCGTGCTTTGTCTATTTTTTTTTTTTTTTGCTCTGTTTTCTGCAAGAGGCGTACTTGAAATCGGTCCACCGCTGCTCGGCGGAGGATGATGAAGACCATGAACGCCTTCTTATCTATTAGATACGAAGGCATTCTGAGCATCTGCCCTGAACAACGAACACATATGTGGCGTCGAATGGTACGCCCTACTTCCAGCTGCTATTAAACATAGGGGGTCGACTCACCCGTCCACACAGTGTTTCTAAACCGGGTCGCGGTGTTCGTAATCTCATCCCCTATTCTACCAGTCGCCTAATATCATTTGTGGGGGTGAATCTCTCGAACTCACTTGACTTGCATATTCACATGCCCCCCCCCCCCCCCTTTTTTTTCCCCTCTTCGCAGGCTGTCAACCGGAGCTGTCCCCGGGCAAGGCTCTCTTCCGCCTGCCCCTGGACAATATTTACACGTGCGGCACCACGCGGATGCACAACAAGATCACCGTAAGGCGATTTTGGCACCACTGTGCCCAATTCCTTGTCGTACAATGAGTCCAAGATGTTCCAAAAGAAACGCACCTGACTTCCCCTCTCCACTCGCCTTCTCAGCGATTGAGCGCAATCTCGTGGAGATTTTCTTCTCTTTTTTTTAATCTTGATAATGGAGGTGTCGAAAAAAAAGTCACAGAATCCAAGTGAATCGAATATACACTCCGTTACCATAGCAATTGTCTCGTACAAATGAATATACTTTCAACTTCAAAAGCGTGAAGCCGCAGGCTCTAACTTCTACGTATTGCGTTACGTATACTTCTGCCAACAAAGTAATTCAAAAAGGCTTCGAAGAAGAGTCTTTTGAGCCCATTAACCTGACATGACATGCCGGCGCTGAAAGTGCCCATCACTGCGCTTTGGCGTAGAAGATCAATGGAGGCTACATCTCACCGCGCTCTAAACATGATAAGCAAAACCATTTACGTCTAGCCTCAAGCAAAGCGTTCTTTTCAGAGACACCGTGAAGAAAAACGTTCCAATTTTTACGAGTAGCGAGTAACGGTACTTGGTTACCTTTTTATTTAAAGTATCGCGTACAGGTTTGGTTGAAGCTATACTTATCGCATGGAGCGCAAGCATGTGTGTCGTTGGTGCATCTCAAAGCGTGTTTACCAATGTCGCATTAAGGCCCCACACACACACGCGTACCGCTGCCGAAGCAGCTCGCGCTTTGTTGACGGCTTTATTGGGTTTGCGGGAGAAGCGTCAGCGGCGTCCCGTTCCAGTGACGGCCGCGCCGTCGCGCGTCCTCCGAAAAACAAGAGCGTACCCACCGAGAGCTGCCCGAAGCTCCAGATTGAATAAAACTAAAGTGGGCTTCCGTCTCGCCAGGGGCTTACACTGTGCGAGCGTTTCATCGGCACTCTTGAAAACCTTGTTGATGCTCCCTTTTCTTTTTCTTTTTTTCGCGCGGATATCCAAGTATTTGGTATCTCTTTCTTGTTTTGCGTCGCATTGACGCGCGCTTGACGCTTCACAAACAGGAGATAATGGAATGGTCCGTACTTAAAACCCTCGAGACGAGACGGGTCGCTCTCGCGTCGTTTTGTTGTCTTTTGCGTAAACTTTACTTGCTTTGAAAGGTTTTTCTCACCATCGGTCCCCGAGGTAGCTGTCACTGACGTGATTTTATCCGCCATGCGTGGCTTACCTTTACTACACCGGGGGTTCCGAGGAAGTGTTTTAAAAATAGCGGAACATAGGGTGTTTGAGCGAGCAATAAACGCTTTCTGGGAACTTTCAGCCACAGCTGACGTCACAGAATAAAGCTAGAACAACAATAATTAGCTAAATTCAACTAATTACGTTTTTGATTAGTAAAAATAAACATATGGTTCCAATCAGAAACTTTTTGAGCACCATTAAAAACCACCAAATCAACCTATTTTTTAGAAATATGTACGGTGTGTACAGCATTTTACGGCGTTCCTAATTAACGCTCTATTTTGTCGCGTTTCTGGGATTTGGTTTCCTATCGGAGCGAATGTTTGCTCCAGCGCACCTGCCCAACCTGTCCCCACGTGACCACGGCGCGAAGCTACCGCCTCGCCTCCCTCGTTGCCGCGCACAAACCTACACCAGAGGGCAGGACCGCTATCGCAAAGATACACTCCGACCGAAAACCGAGGCTAAAAATGCGTCCAAATTGAGTCGCTGTAAATGTTTTATTTACTTGATAATTCTTTTTTTAAATTTAGTTGATTCAGTGGTCAGCAGGTTTCTAATCGTAACCATATGTTAATCTTCGGAAATTGAAACATTGGTTAGTAAATTTTAGTGACTTATTTCGCTAATAATTACGATTTATTGCAATCCCAGACGTTCGCCCTGGCTGCACTTAGTTCCCGAGGTCGTTACGCTTTCTTACTTCTACAGGTAAAGTTTTCTTCGCGCGGTATCTTTTGACTACGTTCGAATACGTTGTGGGGGCGTACGCCCAAAGAAGATTGCGAGTTGCCACGGAAACCAAATGACGCACTCTCTGTTGCCATGATAACTCGCAGCCAGTCGTACCTCGACGTAATCCACATCAGCGTATTCAAGCATAGCCTTAAAGGCCCTCTAACAATGCATTGGCGCGTGACTAAATGTTCCCAGAAAGAAAAATCCGCTCGACTTAGGATTCCGCTTTTTGCCGCAATACTGCCTGTCGAGAAGCAGCCAGCCGTTCGTGGCATTTCCGCTTTCCACTCTTTATCCACGTTCAGTGACGATATTGAAATTTCAATATTTGAAAAATATTAAGCCGTCTGAGTGACACGTAAACTAATAAAAATATGTGAACCCATAAAACGTAGTTTTGAGGACATTGTTTTGTTTTAGACCTTTAGAACGCTTATCGCAGGGTGTGAAACATCTCCAGGGACTTTCGTCGTCTCTCACGTCCCATTTATCCGCCCTGGTCTCTGGGCGAGGGTTTCAATTTTGATAATTTATTTCAGGAAATACGCCGCTCTACGAAATAACATTAACTATTGTTGTCTAAACATCATAACATAGCGCCTCGACCAAGCTAATCTATATATGTATCCTTTTTGTGGTGTGAAAGCCTTTTTAATGCGCGTTTCTTCAAACTCGTCTTGTTTTCCCAGGCGTGAAGGAGCGTGCTGCGACCGCAATAGACCGATCTCACCAGCCAGTCTGACTACGCCACCGCTGTCGCGATGCATTGAAGGAACTTTAGTCTTATTGCACGTGCGACAACCTCGCTGGAGCTCTTCGCGTGTAGAGCACGAGAAGGCACGAGCCCTCGCGTGCACGGCCTTCTGCCTCCTGTGAACTAAAGTTACGGCTGCTTTACGCATGCGCCCAACGCTTAGTGAGATCGGTCTATTGCACGCGCTTCAAGTGTTGGCGTGGGCAGATGCACTGTTCTCAAGCAGAAACCTAAAACAAATGGCACTTTGCACGAGCGCTCGTCAATTACTGACTGAACATTTACTTGGAATCTTTGATACAAATAAGGCGAGGGAATGCAAACGTGTATTTACGTTCCGATCATTCTCATTGATGCCCGACATGTACACGTTAGTGAAAAGGTAACCTGATACCGATATCGTTAGTCGCTTCAAAAGTAACTAAGCACGTTACTCGTTATAGAGATTAAATAGTAACAAGTTACTTTCTCGTTACTTTGAATGTGTCGCTTGTTCTGCAGAGGGAGTCACCTCGCGATATTCGGTGCCCTTAATTATCGGTATTGCTTTCTTACGCATTCCTAGGCGTCCTTTTATTCTTTTCTCGTGGGCGCTTCTTTGCCGTGAAAGGCCAAAGCGCGAGCCAGGGCGAGAACCACACAGGCTAACTTGACTTGCAAACGATCTCCTTCAGAAGTAACGATGTACAGTTCCTGGTTACTCCGTCAAAGGGTAGCGAAAATACGTTACGCGTTTCTTCTCTCGAACGCTAACTATACTTCGTTACTTCGTTACCGGAAAAGGTGACCAGACAGAGGTAAAGCCTCGCGTACGAGTCTGTTTTGTGCTCGAGTAATTCGGCAAACGGTCCATTGTGTTTCCCGCCGCGCGCGTTTGTTCCGGGTGGGCTTGTCGTCGGGGGCACCGGGGCTGTTGTACGTGTCCCCGCCGCGACTCGGAAGGTGCAGTGAGAGGCGCGGCCGCCTCTCGCGCCCCCGCCAAGGGCTAACCTGCGCAGGGCCCGAGGTGCCCAGCGCTGCGTTGGTCCCCCGGCCGCTCCCTGCTTTGTTTCCCTTTGTTTTTCCTCTCGACCGCGCACACGGTCGGGGTCGCGTCGCCGGGGGGTTTATTGATCAACGGCGCCCGCGCTTTTACCGTTGGAGGAGTTCGCGTCAATCCAAAATTTGATTACGCGGCCCTTGGTCTGAGTGGGCGCCGGTGTTTGCGCTGCGTTAGGAGCCCCGCTTGTTCGATATGTGCCGAGTAGACAATCACAGTACGGCTGCGGTGTTCGCATTTTTATTTCCCTTTTTCTTTTTAAAAGACCGGCTGAACCTAGTGCCACTAAATAAGCTACGCTTCAGAGTAACGACACTTGGCCATATTGTGTCTTAAAATCATGGCTGCCAGTTATCTGAAGCTTTATCTGAAATCACAAGAAACGCTTTTCCGTCCTCCACAAATGTTTAAACAGTTCGCGACAGAGAAAAGCAATATTACATGAGCTTCCTAATACCGAATCTAATGCTGAGGAGGTCGCACTTTTGAATCATGACGATCGGCAGTTGCGTCTGTTCTGCACAAGCCCCAAAATGGCGGCGCCCACAACAATGTCGGGGAACGGAGTGCCGATACTCTAAGCGCAGCTCATTTAGTGGCTCTAGCTGAACCCTTGGTTGGGGTGTCTGTACGTGCGCGCGTGCGCGCGCGCGCGCTTTTTTATTTGTTGCCTTAGTGGCAAGAGGTATGACAGTTCTCATCGTGTTACTTTCTAGCCGGAGAACAAAACGGTAAATATGTTCGGAGCAACAACGGGTGATAAATTCTCCTATGCAAGCCTGTATGCGCTCGTGGCGAAACTGGCGTAATGATAAAAAAAAACAAAAAAACATACAGACTTTTGCATCTGGACTAAAGCCAATTTAACCCGGCGGATGGCCGATTCGATTTCGGTGGCAATCAGGATAACGAAGACAGCGCACGCGTGGGGCAGCGGTTAATTTTACGAACACCATGGCGCGTTTCTCTCGCTTTGATATCCAGACAGTTTAGGAATAATGTGGGGCACGCGCACAGTTGTACTTATCGAAGGTTGCGGCCTTCGGGCCTAGAAAGGAGACATTTGACATTGGGCTGCCCAAATCACACGCCGTAACGTAAATTCGACTCTGCCCTTTGAAAACTAAAACGAACGAAAAAGAAAAAAAGGAAAGGATATTGCGGTTCCGAAATGAGCCGCGCTCACTGCGCAGGCTGTCGTCGTCACTTTCAGTTAAAGCGCTGAACGGATTCAAGTACTGCCAAGCCGGTGCATGCTGGGACGCACATGAGCCAAAAACGACGAAGCGTCGCCGCCAGTCTAGTTTGGCGCGACTGCGCGGCGACGGCCTCTGCAGGGGGCCAATGGGAGCGTGCTCGCAAGCGGCCGTGCGTCACCGGCAGCCACAGGAGAGAAATAAGAGCGTGCGTGCCACGAGCCCAAAAATGGCGACGCGTCGCCGGCATCCAATAGGAGCGCACTTGTCAGGATCAAACGATGGCGGTGCTTGGAGAAGTGAAGCCATCCAGCGCTTTGCTCTCCATTCCGCCGATATATAATCGAAAATCCGGCACACTTCGATACTCCGTTTCATTTGGACCGGAGCCGACGCGACGATCAACCATGATTCAAAGCGAAAAGTGTATCGTCATGGTCACGACGGCCGTTGTCTTTATGGGTTTCTTATCTCCAAATAAACCAGTCTCGCGTAGAAAAAAAGAAGCCTTCACTCTGCCTGATTAGGTTGAGTCGGAGCACGCACAAAGGCGGCGAGTACCGTGCCGACGCACCTTCGGCTCGATTGGCGTCGTCAGATGGTGCTCGAAGTGAAACAGAGCACAGGGTCTCTAAGCTGGACACTCGGCGAAAAATTCGAGGAGATTTGTGACGGCCGCCATTGGCCAGCCCCAAGGTCAAGCGCAGCGCTGGCCAACCACGGCGGGCAGAAATCTCGCCGACATTCTCGCCAAAGGATCAGCTTAGGGCCCCAGGATTGGAGAATGAATTGTGGTAAGTGGGTTTGTTACGTCCGATAAAAAGTACCCTAAAGACAAGGGCAACGTTAAGGATGTAGGCGGTGCTTGCGACAACGAGCGGAGGATGTAATTGCGGGATGTTTCGGGGAAAACCTCTCGTTTCTCGTCAGTGGAAGAAAACAAATTAAAGAAAAAACTACATCGTAGACCTCCAGAACTCTTATTTGTTTTGTTCTTCTCACAAATGTAGGCACCTAAGTGCGATAAATTTGATGATTTCGCGGTCTCGGTGAAGTTCAGCTGCAGAACTATGTATAAGCGCTGTGTCATTTTTGAATACTTTGAGCAACAAAAAAAAAAAATCATAAAGGACAGATTGGGAAGGTTTTGACAACGAGAGGCCGGGGTCTAGCCTTGAGGTATATGGCGGTCCAAAGTTGTAAATGAGTAATTTAGTCAGTGCACTACGACTGCTTACTTGAGGCCTTCAACGTGCTTCACCCAGCAGGAAAAGACGGTGAATCGCTTGAGAGCCTTCGCTGGGCTGAATTTATCAGCTTTCTTACAACTTTCCCCTTGAGGTTATGAAACTATATTTCCTTCTAGATGAAGTCAAGGCGCCTACGAAAGTGTAAATTTTTTCACTCTCGTGGGCACAAAGACGCCTTTTTTTTAAAATTCAGTGTCGCCTGGTGACTCGAAAAGAAGTTTCACAGTCTTTCGACAGGGTGATGGCAGTCCTGAAACTATATCTCATCGGGCACCGTGGCTTTGGCACATCAATGGCAGATGAGAATTGGCTCTTTGATTAGCTCGTTATTATTTCTCGATTTGTTTCAGCTTTGATGGTATCAACATAAGAACTTGAAAGCGGCGATCCACAAGCTTCTCGACTAAATCTCCCCGATCAAAAAAAGGCTTTAGAGTTAAGGCCGGTTCACACATACAGCGAAGCGCTAAGTTAGCGCTACGTGAGCGCTCGAAGGAGCGCTCACGTGGCGCTTCCTAGCGCGTGACGTAGCGCTCGGTTAGCGCTTCAGTAGCGCTCTGTTAGCGCTTCAGAAGCGCTTTGTTAGCGCTCTGTTAGCGCTACAGAATCGCTTTGTTAGCGCTTTCATGCTCCTTGTGCCGTGCTTGCTGCTGCGGAGCAGCGCGTGCACGGCGATTCCTTTGTTGTTGTTTTTCCTTTGGCATTGAAAGAAGAGGAAGTAAAACAGCCGCTCTCCAAGCAAAGGTTCGGGCAGGCGACCCAGAGTCATGGACATTGAGCGACTTATTGATTGGGTACGACCTCATCGCTTTCTATTCGATATGCGTGACCCTGGTTTCAAAGACACGCAGTTAAAAATAACCGCCTTTTTAACAGCTCTGTGTCTCGGTCCCTCAGCCTAGGAACAAGGTTCACCAGGTACCCGTCGGTATCTTGGTGGCGAAAGATTTCGCGCACCCAGGAGGCTCTTCTGAGCGTCAAGCCGTCCACACACATATGCACTAATTGCGTATCAAAGAGCTTTTGTCGCATTTCTATTTCAGCATCCCACATGTCAGTCATGGTGCAGGTGATACACACCCAATTCCACAGGAACCGGAACCGCAGTGCACGCGCTAATCCGCAGCACCGCGGTACAAGAAGCGCTACTGAAGCGCTAACAAGGCGCGACTGGAGCGCTAACAAGGCGCTACTGAAGCGCTAACAAGGCGCTACAGAAGCGCTAATCGCGCGCTGTGTTAGAACTAAGTCACACGCTAGGAAGCGCCACATGAGCGCTCCTTGGAGCGCTCCTGTAGCGCTAACTTAGCGCTCCGCTGTATGTGTGAACAGGCCTTTACACTTGCGCCATGCAATTCATTGAACCATACTCCGAAATGAACTCTTACGCCGCCGTTGTATCTACTTTATGCGTCATGCTGGACTGGCGTCTCGAACGTGCAATCCTCATATATCCTTCGCGTGATTGTACCTTGAACTTCTTTCTTCATAAGCCTCAAATGACCTCCATTAGTTTGGCACAGACGCCATACACTACAGTGCCCTGTACATACACCAAGACGATGATATTGATGGGAGTTTCCAGGTTTAATGTCGAAAAGGGTCTATTATACTTCGTCTCACCCTACGATGGACTAAGGGCTAAAGCTACGGACCGCCAGATCCAATCACGAGCCACTAAGAAATTGCGTGGTATTGCGCTTTGATGCACGCATCAGCCCGCGTCTCGGATCACTGATGGGGATCGGCGGAGAGTGGTTCGAATCGAATAGAAGTGAGTGACTCAACAATTTTACATTGAAAAAAAGCCGCGACGTACAGGCTGTTTGCAGCGTCGAAGATATAGAAATGATGCAGCGTTTTTCGGTTCGGAGAGTTATTCGTCCACCCCCAATCAAAGGTAGGCATGTCATAGTTTAGCGTAGAACGTGATTGGACCTGGCGGCCCGTGGCTTTGGCCTTTAGTCCATTGTAGGATGAGACAAAGTATAGGAGGCATTGTTAGGTTACGGCGCGCAACGTAAACACTATAGATACCAAATGAAACCTTTCTTTGACAATGCACTCGAAAGCCTTCGCCCTTTTTTTGTTTGGCAACAAACTCAGTCGCGCCATCTATCGGGTAGCCTCGGGCACACTTCCGGTTAACGCATATTTCCTATTCTTTGTACTCATCATTCCTTTATCGTAAGAATGAGTTAAGTCTGACAGTGCTGTAAGTTGCGACTTGCAGAAGATGGCATAAATGTTTGTTTTCGCAAATACTTTGAAACTGGGCGTCTTGTTCAGAACCGGAAATGTTGGGAGGCTATTTGCACACTGGCGCCACCACGTTTCAACTCACGCGAGAAAGAGCTAATACGCGGGGGCACACTCGCTCACCTTGAGAGCCAACGAAGAATGCACGCACACTTCTCCCTTGCGAACCCTTAGAGAAAGTGGTCATATAATTGTAGGCCCGTAACTCGCCACGCCTTGTGTTTTTTAAGCTGTTACTGGCAATATAATAAGCATATATACTCGGCGACAACTTTTCTTGGCAATGCAGTGGAAGGTACAGGCCCGCGTCCCCTCTCCCATTTTGAGTGTGCGCAGGCTCTCCTCTTCCCCCATTTCCGGGGAGAGAAGGAGAGCCCTCGCACACTCAAAATGGGAGAGGGAACGCGGGCCTGTACCTTCCACTGCATTGCCAAGAAAAGTTGTCGCCGAGTATAGCCTTCTCTGCGGTGCACGATCGTGCCTCTGTGGGTTTCAGAAAGCGATAGCACGAAGCGAGCGCAAAGATACCACAGTGCACGCTACGTGCCACGTTGGTGAGCGCTCGAGGCAGCGTGCCTGCACGAACCGACGGGCTGACTGGGCGCGGTCCAATTCGGTGCGCAGGGCCAGAGGATCTTCTACCACAGGGTGATGATCGAGACGCCCGGAGAGGAAACGGAAGTGATCCTGGCGAAGTGCGTGCTTCCGGGCGGCTTCAACCAGACCTCAACTTCCGGCAGCCGCTCGCGGAGGCAATCGCTGCCCTTCGACCTCATCGAGCCCGAGTGAGCCAAGTCCCCTTCGCCCTCGCAGTCGCGGCGCCTCTTAGACGCCGGCCGGCACGACTCCAGGCCGTACTTTGCGCGCTTCGAAAGAAAAACGAGCCCACTTTGTGGGCTCCAGAGGTTTCTTCTTGAAAGCCGTGGTCACACAGATAATACGTCATACAAAAGGCACTGTCTGAGGCATTCCTTATATGACGGTCCTATTGGTCGTGCGAAAACTGCCTGCAGACATGTTCGAAGCATATATGAAGTCGTGATGTGCAGCGAACAGCGTGTTTCTTGTATGAGGTATACGAACAGTGCAACTGCGTCTTTAGTGGTGTGCGATGATGCCTAGAATGTTTCGTATTGAAACCATATTTTTTAAAATTAATTACTAAAAGATAATTACTCCCTATAAATTAGTAAACGGAATATACTGCTCGTTAATAACTTTCTCAGTTAAGCTATTTGGCAAAGACCAATACACCTAACTGTTTTTCTGCGCAGTGAGAACTTTTCGCAGGATGATTTGGCCAGCGTTTCGAGAAACACACTGTATAAGCTCTTGACATTTTCGACGGCGGTCCCCGACACAAACGACCGAATTATCTGAGAGTTGCACTTATGGCGCCATCTCCCGAGAACCGACGCAAGCAAAGCAGGGGGTCGCCTACTTTCAACCGAGTGCTTGCTGTGCGTTTCAGCAGATGGCGCCACAAGGAGAACTCTTCGTGAGTTCGATCGTCTACGTCCAAGACCGCCGGCCCCCCGTTGATAACGTCTAGGGTATTGTTCTAATTACGCGCAGGAACCGAGCTACGCCGTGAAAACTCACATGGTCATATGTGTAACTAAAATATACCCTTGGTGAAAGGTCGAGCTCGTTCCGAGTACGCGCCGGTTTTTCCCGCAGATTCGTGAACAAGCCCCTGGATTTGTAACACCTTATGGTGTGTGTTTAGGCTCCTAGAGGTAGACTAAACATTTACTCTCAGTTTTTATATCTTACTTTCGAGATTGGATTAAGCACACCGCTGTAACAAGAAAAACACACTAAAAGTACGTAAGGATACGCATCGGATAATGAAAGTATATATACTAGCAATCTAGAAATACACTTGAAGTGTGCTTTTTTCGTTTATAAAAGTAAAATATAAAAAAAAAAAAAAAAATTTTTTTTGCCAATGTAAATACTTAGGTTTTCCAGCTCGGTAGTCTTGCTTCGGTAAAGTTTGCCAAACCTTCAGATGAGCGATCCGCTCAGGGTAACAATCGTATTCTTTATGTGCACCGCGTCCGACTTTACGAACATCTTAAGCTATTGTCCCGATTCGGTAAAAGTTTTCCGACAACCGCACTGAATTACGCCTTCAATTACAGGGACAAAGTCGAGGCGTGCGTTTTAGTTTTACCTTTCTCAGACACCTCCACTCCGCTCTAACTTTATTCCCAAGTTTACCCTAATTAGTAAGTGTCACTGTTGCCACGACAAAGTCTACCTTGAAGTCGCGAGAAGTTTCAGAAATATGCATACGAGGCGCGTGCATTTTTTTGTTTTTTGGGACTCGGGGTGTAACACTGTTTAAAGGTAGCGCTAGTTTGCAGGGCGCCGCTTCTCCCGTTAATAATCGTCACGAATATTAAGGGGGCAAAAGCATCCAGCGTGTGCGCGGTCTCCAGACATTTGCAGTCCGGGCAATTACGCGACAGCTTTAGTGTTCCTTTTCTCAACCCGCGCCGTGAGACGCAGTCGAGTTGCCCTTTGTGGGACCTTGCTTGGGCAGGCACGCCTCGTTTATTCGCGCCTAATTGGATTCTGGGCGTTTTATTCGTCCCCATTGCGTAATTCTTTTTCGCTGTCTCCCCGCATTATGCACCTTCCCGCCGGCTTGAGTTATGGCTGCGGTACGGCTCTGAGACTCGACCTTCGAGGACTTAACCCCACCGCCTCGTTCCGCAGAAATGGGGAGGCGTGTTTGTCGGTCGTGCAAATTTGCTCTGAATCGCAAAAGTAAATGTCAGTAACTGTTAAAGACAAAAAGCGAATCTGCCTCTAAGGTATGGTGCCACCAGTTCCACCCTATGGAGGAGCAATTTAGCCACTTCCGTACGACGGCATATCTGGGCTCTCCGAAGTCCCCGGGTGTGTAGTGTCTACCACCACATTGGGCCTTCTGCGTACCGATCGTTGTTCTCGCTTGAATCGGTTCACTCAGTGAGCGCATCGTTTGGTGTCACAATGCAATGGCCCTTCTGCCGCAGTCGCGAAAGTTTTGGGCGCCCTTTTGGCACCGATACCACATTGGTCTCGGGGGTGAAAAGGCTTCGGATATGCCTTTTCACCCCCGATGCAACGATATTCAATTGGAATGTTTTTCACTTTACACGAGCTTACTAGCACTAGTGGGACTCAAGGATACTCGCACGCAACGCCACTGGCCAAGAAACGCCTTTGTTGCGGTGTAATTTGAAGGGCAAAAGAGATGGCTTTCATTCAATCTCTCCTTCGCAAAATTCGATGACGTAACGTGGGGATCGCAGTACACCCCAATGACGATATTTGAATGCGGTTTATAGATTAGACCCGAGCATTCCGTGGGCACTGGATTTGGCCTCGTGATAATTACTAGCTCGAGAAGCATTCGGATAGTGGCCCGTGTCCAATCGCTGCAACGACGACAATAGCCGAGCCATCATAATATCTGGAACTCAGCGCGTGTCCTGTGCTTTGCCAACCCCAGTGCGTGGCTATGATCAACATTGGCTTCATATAATCGTCTCCATATCACGTGGCCGCTTGTTCTGAATGCGAGTTTAGAAGGTGAACGCTGCTCGTTTTAGGGGCGAAGCTCCTTAGGGTCTAGCCTCGTCCGTCCGGCGTCCGTGCTCACATCGATCTTGCTGGTGCTCGTGCTCGTGAGCTGACGTGCTCGTGTAAGGCAAAAAAAAAATTATGAAAAAAACAGAAAGGATGTTGGCGCAGTCGACAGGATTCGAACCTATGCGGAGAGACCCCAATGGAGTTCTATTCCATCGCCTTAACCACTCGGCCACGACTGCGGGACGAGTAGGGGGCTCTGAGATGTGGTAGGAACTCAAGAGCTGGGGATGTCATGGATGAAGCGTTGCATGTAGCCGCTCAACGTCTATACAGGAGAGGGCGCTGCGGTCAAATTCGTATATAATCTCGTTAAACTTTGCATGCAAAATGGACAATTGGGCGAGTTGGTAAGAGTTCATAATTACTTACAGCGCGACTGGGACAAGGGCAGACAGAGGAGAAAACACACGGGACAAGCGCTGAACTTAGTTCAGCGCTTGTCCTGTGTGCTTTCTCCTCTGTCTACCCTTGTCCCTGTCGCGCTGTAAGTAATTATGAACTTTGCATGCATTGGCTCAATGTTTATAGACGAGAGGGCGCTGCGGTCAAATGCTCAAATACGTATATAACCACGTTCTATACAACACGTTCTCTTTCTGACATGGATGAAAACGAACGAAAGGCTCGGCATGCTGCGGCTCAGCGTCTACGCAGAGAAGCATTACCAGAGCTTCGCCCCAATCAACATCATTCACCACAAGGAGATGCGGTCGTTTTCTTTTTCTTTAATTTTTTTTTTCTGGGACAAGTCCCAGAAAAAAAGGATGAAAAACGAACGGGTGTTTCATAGGTCATTAACGTCAGGGATTCGTTCTAAGCGGTATTTGCGCAAAGTACAAAAATTGTTGCATCGCCGCTTTGCCGCAGCGTGGCCATTGGAGCATGATTTAGATTGCCCCTTTCACTCGTAGAGCCAGCTGAGGGACGACCAACGATTTGTGTTCCGAATGCGTCTCGGGGCTGTATTATCTCCAGAAACTTCCGAGAGTGCATTGTAAGCTGTAACGGGTTGTCGCAGGCACCTGAACATCACCGAGTACATCGAGGCCCGAGCCCCGGTGCCGTACCTGGACGTGGCCATCCGGCAGAACGGACGGGTCTTGGACACCACGCTCAACGTGCAGCCGGGGACCCCGCTCGAGATGCTCGTCTTCCTGGACCCCAAGAGCAGAGGTACACGGTCGCGCTCACGTCGCCACGTTCGGGCCGGGAGCGATCCTTTCTGTATGTCTTCACTGCAGGCCTAAGAAGTTCAGGGCGTGGCCAGACCCACGTGTCGTCGTATGCTCCGCAGACAATCAGATGGCGTCATTAGCTGACAGAAATGTCCAAGAACGAATCACGTAGCGAAAAATGTAATCCTACTACGACTCGCCCGGCTTTCCGTTAGCTTTCGCGGAGTATAGACCAGCTATGACGGCATGCCTCTAATAAGGTTCCTCTACACCCACTTCCCGTGTAGGTTACTGTACCTCCTGCACCCTTTCTGATTGGGGAGGCCGGAGAGGAGGCGAGACGATGCGGAGAGTGACTCGCCTGCTCTCCGGGGTTCGCTCCGCTAAAGTGGAAAAGCAGGAGGGCTTCGCGGGGCGAGCCTGTCCTGCTTATTTTAACCTGCAGCACCTGCGTGCATAAGGTCAGCTTTTTTTTTTCCCTTTCGCGTCTCCCTTTTTTATTGGCTGACATAGAGCGCGAAATGTTTGCCCTCTCCTTCAGACTGTTTTATTGGACGTGTGTAGCAACAGTAAAAATCTAGTTCAGAACACAGCACCTCCACCTCGGCACCGTTACTTCTTTTTTTTATTATTTAACGTTTCAGTTTGCCAAGAACGCCAGACTGCTAGTACTCTTTACCAGGCATCGTCTGCTAGCTTGACTACTACCGCTTCTTCGCTTAGATGTTCGAAGCAGATTTTTTGACTAAAATAATCCCTGGAAAAGGGGAACAAGAGGGACAAAGGACAAACATAAATCTCCAAACACAGCTAGGTGACTGGTGAGCGACTGAAAAAATCCGCCTGGTCCGGGTATTTATGTTTGTCCTTTGTCCCTCTTGTTCCCCTTCTCCAGGGACTATTTTCGTCATTCTTGTCCAGCTCGCTTGCACCTTTGCAATTAATTGCACTATAATTATAACCTTGAATTTGCAAGCTTCACCCTTGTTGGTGTCAGACTGGTGGTGGCTGATAAAACCCGTTTGCTCCACTGACGTCTAACCCCTGGTTAGACGTCAGTGGTAGAGGGCTCCAGTTGTAATGGAGAGGTCCCGGGTTCGATACCCGGACCAGGCGGATTTTTTCGGTCGCTCGCCAGTCACCTAGCTGTGTTTGGAGATTGGTGTTTATCCTTTGTCCCTCTTGTTCCCCTTCTCCAGGGATTATTTTCGTCATTCTTGTCCAGCTCGCTTGCACTTTTGCATTTAATTGCACTATAATTATAACAGATTTTTTTCCATTCTGTTTAGAGTTTATTTATTTATTTATTTATTAGAGTACCTACATCGCCTAGAAGCCATTACAGTAGGGGGGGGGGAGCACAAAAATAACATGCAAAATGTACATCGTTATACAGGAAAAAAAGAAGAAAACACTACTACATTTATAAAGACTAAATCATATGAAAATTTAAACAATTGACTGAATTTTCTCAAAAAACAACTCTGGCATCAAAGTTTCTACAATGTCATTAGGAAGCTTATTCCAATCCTCAACAGACCGTGGAAAAAAAGAATTTAAAAACATCAGTTCTGCACTTATACGGACGGATCTTTTTTGAATTGTCAACCCTTAAAGACACATAAGCAGGTTCTAGAAGATGTGTTGATTTACATTGCGGGCATCTTCCAGCTCCGATTCCCACAAACCCTGTCTCCGGATGAATATGACACTTCAATGCTTCGCTCTCGGCAAAAGGGTTTATTCACTCACTGATTGCCTTGGGGGGTTTCGGGATCGGGGGACGGTCATCAGCGAGGCCGGGGGATAGCCCGCTGCCACAGCAGCTTCTCCGAGTCCCAGCGGTGGTCGTCCACACCGCGACATGGGGACGTCGTCGTCCAGGGTCGCTGTCCGGTCCGTTTGTCGAGTCCGCCACTCGACGTAGTGCCCGCACTCCCCCGCGCCAGCGTCCAGCGCCGTCCGAGCTCGCCTCCATGACCGGTCCCTTGTCAAGTCGGCAGCCCAAGCCCTCTTCCTTTGTCTCCGTTGCCCTTCTTAAGACCTTCCCAAGTCCTTGTCCCGCCGACCGTCCAATCGGGAACCTGCCGCGAGCCGATCCTCCGACGTCAGCGCTGGGTGAGGGGGGCGCTTGCCCCGTTCCTCCCGGAGAGCTCGGACATTCCGCGACCGGACGGCGACTGGAAACGGGAAGGTCACAGGGAACGAAGGAGCGCCCGACAGAAAGGCGGCGGGGACCGGCAAGGTCACGGAGAGCGGAGGAGCCAGGGAGAGGGTTCCCACAACATATACCAGTATTATTGTGGAATATGTTATGCAGAAGTTTTAGACGAAGGCACTGACGTCTGTGCCTCAGCGGCCTCCAGTCCAGCGATGACTTCAGTTCAGTTACACTTGTCCTGAAATCATAATTTCCCGTAACAAACCTTGCAGCACGGTTCTGTATTTTTTCAATCTGGTCCCCCAAGTTGAACCTATAGGGGTCCCAGATTGTACACGCATAATCAAGAACTGATCTAACAAGTGAAAAATATAGGGTTTCTTTCAGTGACGAGGAGGCCAATCTAAAATTACGCTTAATGAAACCTAGCGATCGACTAGCATTGGCGGTTATATGGTCAACATGTTTATTCCAACTTAAATATGACGAAAAAATAACTCCTAAATATTTAGTTTCATTTAAAAGGATGAGGGGCAATCCACCATTGGTGTATAAAGAAGGGAAGAAATTCGTTTTTCTTGTGAACCTGATATAGACACATTTCGATATATTCAAAGACATACGCCATTGAAGACACCAAGCTTCAATCCTGTCCAAATCACTTTGAAGAGCAAGGGCGTCAGCATTACATGAAACATCTGCGTACAAAACGCAATCATCGGCATATAATCTTATTTTAGAAGGAACTTTTTGGACCAGATCATTAATGAAAATTAAAAACAGGAGAGGTCCGAGTACCGATCCCTGTGGGACACCAGGTGTAACTTGGACTGACGGGGACTGAATCCCATTAGTTACTACAGACTGTTTCCTGTAGCTTAAGTAGTCACCTATCCAGCAAAAAATTTCTGAATCAATGTTTAGTTTCCGAAGCTTAAACATGAGGAGAGCATGTGGAACCACATCAAAGGCCTTATTAAAATCTAAAAATATGCAGTCGACCTGTTTTGCCCTATCGAATGACAATGCCAAGTCATGATAGAATTCAGTTAACTGAGTAGTGCAGGATAAACCAGAACGGAAGCCATGCTGAGCTGGAGTAAAAAAATTGATTTGGGCAAGGTGACTCATGAGACTGGTGTAAATCACGTGTTCCATGACTTTACAAGATTCACTCGTAAGAGAGATTGGCCTGTAATTAACGACTAGATTTTTGGGACCAGACTTGTGAATCTTTATTCTTTATTCTTTATTCAGGTAGCTCCTGCAGCGCCGTTGAGGCATTATTGCAGGGGGCGAACAACATAGAAAAAAACATTTCTGCATTTGCGGCACAAACAGTTTCAACACTTAAATTGTTCCAATCCCTAATAGTCCTAACAAAGAAAGAATTTTTGCACAGTTCCGTCCTGGTGGAATATTCGCGTATTTTGTGGATATGATCGGGACAACATTTGCAGTTCTCCAGTCATGTGGTAATACACGTCTCCAAAGACACTGTAAATATAATGGTCAAGTAACGGGAGATAACATCAGCACAGGACTTTAAAACAGTGTTCGGGATATCATCGAGACCAGACGCTGAACTTTGCTTTATTTTGGTTAAAAGCTTAAAAATACCATGCACGTCAAAATAAATTTCAGACACGCGAACCACAGGATTAACCGCTACTTCGCAATGATCATAATCACACGTAATGACATCGGAAAATACAGACCTAAAGTAGTTATTAAAAGTGACAGCCTTTAAGTTGTCATCGGTGACAATGTCACCACTGACATTCAAAGGTATCGTTACGATTTGATCAAATGATCTTCCAGAACTCCTTCCGGTTCTGTTTAAGCTTAGTATTTAGCGTCGCGAAGTAATTTGCTCGGGACAAAGTTATCGCATGCTTGAGGGCAGCTCCTATCTCAATTAATTTTCTGTAAGATGCAGAGTCATGGCGTGTGCGGTATTGTTTCAGGGCACGTTTATTTTTATTTGTTAATTTGCGCAATTCAGAATTAAACCATGGTTTGTCACGACGTCGCTTGGACGAAAGAATTCTAGATGGAACGAAAGTTTCAACAAGGGTTGATAATCTCGTTTTAAAAATGTTCCACAATAAATGCACGTCACCCGATACGCTTAATTCTTCGAAAGCCGGAAAATATGAACTTAGGTTATTCGATAGGCCGGTATAATCACCCCTATCGAATAAGTGCACTTTCTTAGGACGAAACGAAAAATCATGTTTAAAAGAACAAGCCAAATTAGCGACCCCAGCCATATGGTCACTAATTCCAGGAATGACTGTTACAGCTGTAATAGCCGAATCGTAATTACTGAAAAGAAGATCTAGAAGACTCGAGCGGCTGGGAGAAATTCTCGTGGGCTCGTTAACAAACTGTTTAAGACTGTAGTCGTTAATGAGATTAATAAATGCTGCGTATATACCAGAAGAGCTAGCAGTTAAAGGCCGGTGATCTATCCATTGGATTTCAGGTAAATTAAAGTCACCACCAATAACAACAAAACCGTCTTCGACCACTGACAAAGCATTATACAAAAAAAAGAAAAAAAACTGGGCTAGCATCACTTGCTGGCGGCCTATAGAAACAGCCTACGGAAAGGTAGTTGCCATTTTCAAGGTAGACGCGGCACCAAACCGTTTCACAAGATAAGCCATTGAAATCAATCTTGCAGCTTTTTAAACTTTCATGAATAAGCAAAAAGACACCACCACCTGAAACATTCCTGTCTTTACGATACACTGTGAAATGCACTGGAAATTCGACCTCCTTGATTGACTTTCGAGGTTATCACACTGCGAGGATAGACTCTTAAATTGCGC